ACTTACTCTACGAGTCACTATAGTTGAACATACTTTCACTACAATGGGCAAAGATAAAAACGAGGACCCACTCAGTAAACGCGCATCGGGTGGTAAGAAGATCTACGACCCAGTGGATGGCAGTGCACCGAATGGAGACATTGATGTAGGTGATGCTGTACGTTTGAAACCGGAGATATCTTTGTTAAATGGCTGTACTATTATCATCGGTACAATCATTGGGTCGGGGATCTTCATTTCGCCGGTTGGTGTAGTGAAATTCACCGGATCCGTCGGTCTATCGTTAGTCGTATGGGCGTGCTGTGGACTCTTCTCGCTAGTAGGTGCCCTCTGCTATTCTGAGTTAGGTACATCTATCAGAAAATCTGGAGGGGATTACGCCTATATCCTCGAAGCCTTCGGGGAGTTGCCTGCTTTCTTGTTGTTGTGGATAACGCTCATTATTATTAGACCAACTTCACAGGCGATCATCGCTATTGTTTTCGCTAATTACATTATCCAGCCGCTATTCCCTGATCCGGACTGTGCTCCACCCAAGGAGGCAACAGCATTATTAGCAGCTCTCTGTTTATGTGAGTATCCATCTGCCTTTGATAAATACATTTATTTAAAGCCTAAATTTAAATCATTGATTACAGTACCAGCACATGGTGACTTGTATCCGGTATATAAAGCTGTAGACCCCACAATACGCCCGTGTTAGTTACTATGTATATAGTATACTAGTAGTGTAAGTTCCATTTATTGGAGCTGAAACACCAGAAGGTGGCACAACATTATTAAAGGCATGACAAAAATATTGTAATCAAGCTAACATCCAACTCAATCAATAACAATGACCTGTACTACTTTCTATCCAAATACAAAATACGTACAAAACGATACACGTTCATCACAATATCAAAAAACTACGTCCGAATCAAAAACAACGCCTGAATGTATTTATGAAGTGTGTTGATAACATGTAGGAAGTGTTGTTTACATTTCACTAGTAATATACGTGGGTTCATAAGGTAAATACATACCCGCTATGTGGTTGACCTAATTGCATGTCACTTGTTTTACTCGGCGTTAATGCTATTCGAGTATGATTTACAACTGCATGTAGACATATGGCGATCCAGTACTAGTGGTGTAATGAGTGAAAAAAATGAGTTATATTTTTCCGAAAAATAAATGTGTGTACAAAATGTATACTTTATCTCGTGCATGATGCAATACTAGTACTTTCTCTTACATTGGAGAAACGAAACATCGAACACATGTACATGGATCAGCAGGTTAATAGTATAACTGATAAATTGTAGATATCCAACAGCTGTAGAAAAGCGAACGTGTTCATTTCTATGAATAATTAGTATTACCAGCATCATTTACTACATTATCGAACGAACTTTCTAATATTAACCGAACATTTTGAATAGTTTGCTATAGTATAAGTATTTTAACTACTATTAACCAGACATACCCTTACGTAGCGTGTGAGAGTGTCGTGTTTCGAGGATTGTCTGTACACGTTTTACCACAGCGGTTTGGTAGACTGTAGAATACTTTATTTTTGCGTGGAATTAATTTTCGCTGAAGGAATGATTCAGTGAAAATAAATTCCATACAAAGCACTAAAAATGTCTTTTCATCGAAAATTAATTACAGCTAAAATAAAGTATTTTACAGTACTAAGGGCTTTCTAAATAGCAGTAGCAAGGGTAGAATGCATATTGTATATGTATTCAAAGTGTACGTTTGTTTTTCTTTTATGCCAAAACACTGGTGTTCTACTGTTCGCATGAAAGTTTTCCCGCGCAATCAGTCCGGGACAATAGTTTGATTTATAGTCCTAGTTCGCTGCAAGGTTAAATGTCAAAGTTCATCCATAGATGAACTGTGGTTCATCAAACTTTTACTGGACGTTTATTATACTGGTACATGGTTTAACCACGTGTTAGTCACATTCCAAACGTATGGTACCCCCTTATCGGCGCCCACCAGGAGGATATTATAATATTAAATTTGGATATTACTCTGTGTCATTGATTATCCGTGTTTATATTAAAAATATGACTGTGTGAAAATGGAAAGACAATATTGCAATATGTTTTGCCTATTACATTGCGTGATGTAGTTATTGTGTTAGCAAAGCAATGTCCCGTACTACGATATTGCCGTTCCATTCCATTCCTTGTTGCAACCACAGTGAAGGCAAGGAAACACTTGGCACAGCCGAGATCTACAGTTTATGGTTGGTAAAATCAGCTACTAGTATTCTAAACCGACCTTCGTCATTCGCATAACCCCTTGAAACTTTTGACCCAAAAAACTACAAAGGG